CTGCTTTTCTATTTCTGGCTTTTTATTTACTTTTTTGTTGTTATCTCTGTTTCTATTTTGGTTCTCTTTCCTTCAGTATTTTTTTTCCTGTGACTGAGGTCAGGTCATGAATAAAAAAGAATTTGGTAGTTTAAAAAAATCAATGTCCCTAGCTGATATTAGTTGACTTAACAGAACTGTTTACATAATGTGGGTCTGCAGTCCCTATTTTTAATCCTTTCTATGCACTAAAATTTGACTATTTGTGTCAGTGACAAAAAAAAATCTTCTGGGCACCAGGGTGATCTGAACCAGTGCTGGTAAATTATTCTGCGTGACACATAGTGGTCTGTTAGTGAGATTCAAAGGGGGCATAGAGACCTGTGCAAACAAATGTAAGTTCCCAATTTCAAATCTAGACATCACCTGACTATTTATGTCTGACTACAACATGGAGCACTTAGTCCCTGATCATGGAAAAATGTATGCACATTGTTAACTTCATGTACCAAGTAGTATACATTTCCATTGAAATCAATAGTACTACTCAGGGCATAAAACTAAACTCAGTAGGGTTGATTCCAGTTAGTGGTGGAACAAAACCGATGCCAGAGCAACACACATTTCTTTAAAATGAGTTTTACTTTCTGCTCTAGAAAATTTAGAAATATTCCTATTCTTGTATGCTTCCTTCCTACTTACTGGAACAGAATAACTCTAAAAGGATGCTTCCTTTCAGGAAATGAAGTTTTGCAATGTTACCTTTCAATGTACTCATAGCTCATACTAGATTGTGACACAGCAGATGGCATCGTTTGCATAATGAATAAAATTGGCATATTTCTGCCAACTTTGGTTCAAGATTTCATCATTCTTGCTCACCAAGGTCATGATCTTTTATTTGTATTCTTATCGTGAGTTTGCTCAAGCATTTTGGTCCATACTTTCATGGATGCTTAAAGGTTCCTTTGATATATCTATTCTAGCGAGTGAAATAGCCAAACTACCAGCCACAAGAGAGGTCACTCTATGAATGTATTCTATATACTTATTCTAAACTATTGTATCAGCATTTCCATAAAACTATCTCAGAGAGGTAGCCATGTTAGTCTGTAACTTTAAAAATGGGTTGTCCTGTAGCACCTTAGAGACTCACAAAAATATATTGGAAAAACTTTAAAAACAACTAATACTCTAGTAGCACCTTAAAGACTAACAAAACAATTGGAAAGGAAGATGACCAACACCAGATTTGACACAGACATCAAGAATCACTAGCTCCTTCATTGTTTGGCGAGTTGGTTAAGTCATTAAGGTGTGGAAGGTATTGTGCAAGCATTTGCATAAGAATTAACCTTGTTCCAATTTAAGTTGCAACCTTTCTCTGTGTATTTGGCTTGTGGAACTGGTCAGACCAATTCCTTCACTTTACTTCATTCACAAGTTTAATTCTTATGCAAACTAATGGTTCTCATCAGCCTCTTGTAACTATTTAGTCTGTAAGGTGCTACTAGACTATTGTTTGTTTTTTTAAGTTTTTCCTGTAACAGACTAACTCAGCTACCTCTCTGAAGCTTTTAAAAATATATAGGATCATGAGCAGGGGCAGATGACCGTTTTGCGGGGCCCCGGGCAGCATAATTCCGCGGGGCCCCCCCTTTGCCACGGCGCATGCGCAGTGATGCCATGCGCATGCGCGGCGGTGCCACGGCGCATGCGCAGGGCTTTCTGAAGCGCGGGGCCCGGGGCGGCCGCCCCGTTCGCCCTGCCCTATATCCGCCCCTGATCATGAGCTTACTTAGGGAAACCCCATGTCACCAGTTTTACATCTGTATTATTTTCATGAGACAGGCTCCAGTTGCTCAGATTTTACTAGCAGGCTGGCATGTTTTGTTAATAATTAAAATGGAATACATCTTTTGCTCTCATCATCCACGTCCATTGACAGCAAGTACGTCATGTTTTGCTCTTGCATGGAAATTAGGTTAATAGATGCACTGATAGCTAAGATGTTGCTTTCAAGCAAAATACTGTAAGGCCTGTCTGTGTAAACAACAAGCAGCACTCTCTACACTCATTTCCCAGAATGGAAGTAGGTCACATCCTGAACACATGAGAGGGTCTTTAATATGAAACTCCATCTCCAATATAAAACCTATAGGTTGCCATTGTGCTCATCTCCATTGAAAGCATTGTCAGGACAAGTTATTTCAAATTCTTAGACTTCTTGACCCTAGTTTTGTTACCTAGAATATAATTTATAAACACTGATGTAGAAAATTAGAAACTAAGGGCTTGATATTACATGGGACTAGTCTGTTGGTTTCAAGTGTACTGATTTACTTAAGTGAATAAAATAACTCAGGCACATACGGTTTGATCCTACAGAAACCTAAGGTAAAAATAACAAATTCATCATTGTTATCACTATCACTATTGTTTGCATCTTGATAGTGACTTGGGACCTTTTCGAGATGCTAGATGCTGTACAAACCTGTAATGAAAAACACCCACATCAGACCGTGTCCTAAAAAACTTACCATCTACGTTTGTACCAAGACACCTAAGTTTAATGAAATAAATAAGAAGCGTGGGAGATGGGAGGATTAAGCAATAATAAAACAAGCATGTTTTTGCACATATCCTAACTTGCCACCCACCTAGCTGTTACAGTTGACAGTCATGTTTTAACTGTTAATTTATTTTTAATATTCATACAACTTTAAGGAGTTTTCTTGTCCATAATCTATGTACTGATAGTATATTCTATAGTAATGGGAATGAAGGTTTGCTAGCATATAACTATATCTAATGGAAGGATGGTATTTTGTACTAAGCCGGCACCTAAGCAATGAAGTGAAAATGTAAGAGGAAAAATGTAAACCATAAATTCCATTCTAATACTATCAATTCCAAATGCCTGGTGGGATTAAAAAAGGGAAATAAATCAAACTTTTCAGCCCAAAGAAACATTGCATAATTTATCATTCCATTCCTAAAACTGTTAGATGTTAGTTATAGCACTACTTTAGCAGTTACAGAACCATTCACTTAGTGATGGGACTTTCAAGTTAGTGTCACTTTAGAAAAAGGTTGCTTTTTCTCAGACATTTCAGAAGATTTTTGTTACATTTTGTTTGTTTAAATGAGAGAAAATCTTTCTCCTTTATGTTAAAACCAGTTCAGATCCTGCTTTAGCTACTGATGATCAAATGTGACCATAGTTAGGGCATATCTAGACTACAAAATTATTTTGAAATTACTAAATTCAACTTAACTCCCAATTTTACAAAATTGAACTAATGTATCCCCACTATGGGAAAACCTCAAAATTAGTCCGAGGCAGGCTCCATTAATGTGGATGTGCTACCTCGACTTAGAGTCCCAGGAAGAATTGGGGAGTAATTAGTTCGAATTACTTTGGGGAGTAATTATTTTGAAATAGTGGCACCAGAGCATCCACACTAATGCTATTTTGAAATAATTATTTCAAAATTAGCATTATTCCCTGATGAAAGCAGTAGTACAGATTTCAAAATAAGCAGCCCGTTATTTCGAAATAACGGGGTTGATAGTATGGACACTCTGCTTATTATTTTTGAAATAGTGCCCTAGTAGACCAGGACTTAGTGACCTAACTAAAATGGCTTTGATTGTTTCTGTCCAGTTCCCATGTGGATAGGCATGCACAGCTCAAAAACATGATCACAATCAGTAACAACAGACAGCTTTGCTGCCAGAGGGGCTGGGAGCATGAACTACCTTCAGATTCCTAGCGGTGGTAGTATCTTTATGTCAGGGTTGAGGCATGTTGGGAGAGGAGCATGGGGGACGCTTGCATTGCCATTGTTTGTGCAGTGTCTGTTCCATAGATAAACAGACTTCAGCTTCTACAGCTGTCAGTCTGGCACCTTTCAAAAATAATTAACTCACATTATATATCTGTATGCACAAAGCGGCAAAAAACAAATTATAGATATATACATTAGAGACAAACACAGGTACGTGTGTATTTGCATTGCCACACATAGGTATATAGTTTGTCACCATTATATATTATATATATAATAATCATTATATATAATAATGATCAAAATGAGCATTCCAAGAGATTAGTAACTTACACAAACCACTGTTTATTGCACTAATCCCGTTTGGTAATTAATCTCCAGGGAAGTGCTTTGTTTGCCACATCAAAACTGCTGGAAGGATGTCACTCATAAGAACAATTTAAAGTTCAGTTTTTTTGCTGTGCTATTATACTGTAACATTGCTGACATTTTTCCTCCATAAGTGTCTGTGGGGCTACTGAAGGGCTGAAAAATCAAGTGCGTGTTTAAATGCTTTGCTAGATCAAGGCCAGAGTGCTCAGCACTATGCAGGTTTGAGACTTTAATACAGTTTCTTATTAATTTTTCTGTTTTGCTCATTACATCGTAGGAATTAAAATGTATTCTTAGACTAGCCAGACCTTTCCCTGAAAGGCTTATACCAGAAAAAGAGAGAAATCCTCTATGAAGATTGCATGTCTATCCATTAAAATTCTTTGAGGTAATTATTTCTTCTATTTTAGACAAAAAAAAAAAAATCACATGAGTAGTTGGATAGTATAGTGTGCTGCAGAATTTATTTAAATAGTTATGCAATTTTAAGCTATCAAATGTCTGGCAAGTATTAAGCCTGTTTCATCACAGAATTCTAGCTAATCTCTTATCTATACACTAGATAGGCACCTACTGTATCATATGATCACAACACTAGTGGCATGACCTTGATTGAGTTAATATTTAAAAAATAGCAATGCAATATTGCAGTTACATTTGTGTATCTTTTTAATCACGTTTAAAAAATCTTTGTTAAAAGTCTAGAGGACTTTGGGGGAGGGAGGTTTAAAAAAAGAGCTAAGTTGCTTTATTTGAAAAGAGGTTTCTTTCCTCAGTGGAATTTAGACAACCTAAAAAACTCTTGTCATTAGGCAACCCGGTTAATCATTAACTGAGCTGATACCTGCCTCAGTGAATTGTGTGTGATGACCGCACATCATGACACTTCTCTGTCAACGGGCGGAAGAGACAGGTCGTCTAGCTGTTAAACTTTCCTTCACACAACTATAATAAAAGTAGAAATGCTAAGCCATACTTTATGCAGACCTTCGGAACCCAGGTAGGAAGCATGCTTTAGAATGATTATTGTGCTCTTTTGTACTGGAGTAAACATTCCATGTAAAAAGATCCATAGTATTTTAATTATTGGAAACCCAAATTTAAATCTGTTTTTGAAAAAGAGGAACTTTGGCACAAACCAATTCCTCCTTCCTTACAAGATGTCTAATATTTTTAATTTGCTTGTGGCCAGGCTTAATATGTACGGTCAAATATTTACTGTCAAATAGTTATTCTGTATAATTGCTGAAAATTATGTTTTCATTTGCAGCCCAGTACAATCAGCTCTTGCATTGTATTATTATTTATGTGCCTCCACAGCAGCAATTTTAAAAGCACCGTACTTTAAACACAGCCACAGCTCATGTGTGACAGGGGTTTGGTTTGACCCTGAGATAAGATTGTACTATAAATTCTAACAAATTTAAACTTCAGAGTGAGGAGTATTTTAATACTCAATCATGTCAGATGTTCCTTACAAAAAGCACTAACAGTTAACGCTTTTCATCTAGATAGAGCTTGCAAACTTTAATTAATGCCCTTAGAGATAGGCAAATATTATCATTGATTGTTTCAGATTAAATAAAAATTGCATATATGAAACTGAGAGATTAAATGCCTTTCCCAAGACCACTGAAACAGAGAAAGGATTAGAAATTCTGCCTCCCCAATCAAGCTCTAATAACTAGTTGACAATTTATGGGTGCATTCTTCTTAACCATATGCAAAGCACAACGACAGCTAAACAGTACGAGTTAGATTTTCAGAGATCTGTCAGTACCCACAGTCAGGAGCAAATTTTTCCACCAAAGAGCTCTGTTTGCATTAGACCCTAAAATAGTTGGCCAGATTGTAAAAATAACTCAGCTGTCTTGAAAATCTGACACTAAGCATCATATTGGGAGCTTCTGGAGGCTGAACATCTGTGAAAATCTGGCCCTTATTTAGGTGCCTAATTGTCAGTAGAACTCATTTAAAAATCTGACTTATAAGGACAATTTTTAAAATGGAACAACTAAACCAACCCATATAAACCTGTAGCAACTATAAGATTTGATAGCAAGCACTATATTATCAACATCCAGCGTATACTTCTTGTATTTTTAATATAATAGTCTTCAAAGGCTGTCACAAGCATATGTAGCATGAAGAAGAGGTTCTAGCTCTCCCCCAGTAAGGAATAGTTTTACTTAGAAAGTCTCTTAGAGCTATCATCAATTTTTTTTTCTGTTAAAAGGGACATACTATGGTTAAAAATCATAGCCTGTATTTTCTCACTTGGGCTTGTAATGTTCAAAACTTAAATCTGTATGTAGGCATCTAAAATAACTGTACAGGCAGTCCCCGGGTTACGTACAAGATAGGGACTGTAGGTTTGTTCTTAAGTTGAATTTGTATGTAAGTCAGAACTGGTACATATTGTACGGGAAACTCTAGCCAAACATTTCTCCAGAGCTCAGTTTTATTCTCCCATACCTCACTTCCCTCAGTCCTTTATTCTCAAGCTGAGGTGTCTGCTGAGAAAAGCCGCTCCGCGTCTGCCTGGTCTGCGGGGAGGAGGGGGGGGCGCTAGCTTCGCGTCTCCCTGGTCTGCTGGGGGGAAGCAGCTAGTGCGGGGGTGCCTCACCCCATTTGTAACTAGGGATCCGATGTAAGTCGGATCCATGTAACCCGGGGACTGCCTGTAGTCTGATTTGTGGTAATGCTGGGCATTCGCAATTCCCAACGAAATCAAGGTGAATTGTGGAACAACATTAAAAAATCAGACCATGCTTTCTAGGGCCTAAATGCATGTTTTCATGCCAAGCTTTAGGCACATAGATTTGAAATTTTTGGCTTATAGTTTTAAAGAATCAAATTTCATGTCCAGGCTGCAAATAACACTTGAGGTTAGTAAAACTGACATTTTAACCTTCTAATTTATTGTCATACTGGTTATCTCATTCCTGGGCAGATGATAGTCAATTATGCTTTTCAATTCTACCATAAACTTGAAATATTTGGGCTGCAAACACAGCAGTGTAGGACAATATTTTAATTTAATTAGAGAACTGAATCTCTGACACAAAACTAGGAGTTGAAGATCATATTTCCTCTTCAGCATTAAGGATAAATTCTGCTCTCAGATCTGCAGGAAGGATCTTAACTCTAATATTCCTTTCCTCTCTCTCTCCCACTAGCATAAGGGGTGTTCTGGAGTTATAAGGTGGGCAGAATATTTTGAGTTATCCCTTTGATTTGCCATGTTGACTTGAGAACAGAATGCTTTCAACCCTAAGAGAGGGTAACGTGAATCCTGAGAGCACTTTAAAACTTGGTTTTCATGTTTGACAGTTTGATACATTTAACTAGTGACAAGTGTAAGCCTTGAATTAGGGATGTTAAATATCGATTAATAGAACAGTCGATTAACCTCATGAATTCTTATTGGTTAGTCAACTATTCAATAGTCCCCACGCATGCAGCTGGCAGCCAGTGTGCTCCATCCCCACTTCTGGGGAGCCACCTGCCACCTACACTGCTGCCTCTGGTAGGCAGCATCATGGGGTAGCAGCAGCCCCTATCTAGGGGTGGGATCTAAGCTCCTGGACCCAGTGCGAGCCAGAACTGATCCGGGCTCCCTGCCCGCCTGGCTCCTAATACATTTTAAACGCAGAGCCACAGCCGGGGTAGGTCCAAGACCTAGCGCAGGCTGGGACTGAGCCAGGCTGCTCACCAGCCTGCTAAAAAATTTTACTGCTGGGGGGTGGGGAGGGAATGCATGTAGTCTATAGCATTAACCTATAAGCTTTTGCTTATTGGTTAATCGACTAGACTACTGTATTACATCCCTATCCTGAAAAGCTTGAATGAAAGCAAATTCTCAATTTCCTTTGCAAGCTTGTCCTCTTGCCAGACTGTTTTCATGACATTATTCCTAACCAACCTACATTTTCCCATTTGGAGCTAGAAAACATAGATTAGAACTATGATTTGTGTGAAAACTGACTTTTCATAGCATCTGGACTAAATAGGCTATCATTCTGTGGTTTAAAATATCTCTTTGAAAATTCAGAAAGAGAACATTTTAAACAGGACATAAAAAAATGAGAACACTTCCAGCTATTTTTAAATGATGGTGCTGACTATGGGATGTGCTTAGCTCTTTCAGAATATTTTTCCTCGTTTAAGGTTCTCATACCAGCACTACATCTATTGACACAAGTTGGGTGATTCCTGATTTACAGTAACATAACTGAAATCAGAATCATACACAATGTGTTAAATAATTGCACATATCAGCACCTACATTTTCTCCACAGAATAATAGACTATAAAACAATAATTTACTGTAAGACAGATCTTCAGCTGGTATATAAACTGTAAAAGCTCTATTGATGCCCAAATGGATCTCTCCTATTCATACCAGCTGAAGATCTCTCACTGTGTATCTGCCACTAGTGGTCACTAAAGAATTTACTGCTCTGCACCTTGTCCTTCTGTGGCTAGAGTTCATAGCAAATACTACTGGCCTGATTCTGAACTCAGATACACCAGTATAGATTAGGGAGTAACATATTTGAAGTTAATGAAGTTACACTAGTGTCAGATGAAAATAAGGCCCCATGTTTTGGCAGCTTCTGGGACAAGAGTTAACATTCATCTGCACCCCACGTCAAAGACCTTGGATTGTTTGGTTCTGCCTCTAATGTATAACCCCACGTGGCTGGCTGACTCTGGTTTCCTGGTGATGTCCAGCAACAAGAGGACAATCATTACCAGTTTTTCACATTACAGTTGCCTGGTGTCCAGTACTGACCCAGATAGTCTGGTATTTTCACCTCCTGTCCGGTAAAAAAAAAATTCAGAAAATACTGGACACCTAAAACGTCCAGTATTTTCTGTTTTCTTCCTTGCCAGTAGGTGAAAATACTGGACACTTGGCAACCCTACAACACACTCAGCAACCGGGCCCAGCCCCTGCCTCCCTGGACCCCATACCGGCACCCTGGATTCCCCGCCAAGCCCCCCCGGATGCCTCCCCCCTGCTTACCTGGTTCCGCAGGGGCTTGTCTTGTGGCTGGAACAGAAAAACAAAATGGCCACCAGCAAAAAAGCCTCTTCTTAAAGGGGCCAGGCTGATATTTTTATTTTTTAATTTTTTTTTTGCTTAATAACTGCTGTTGTGGTCCTTATTTTTTCCTCAACAACTTTGGTCTCCTCCTTTTTTTTCCCTCAACAGAATTTTTTCCCGGTGGTTTTTTTTGGGGGTGGGAGGGTGTTTGGTATTTTTGGTTAAACCATCTGGCAACCCTATTTCACATGTTAAAATAAATTAAAATAACCTTAGAATAAGAATATAACTATGATTTATGTTTTATTTTGTTTCTTGTCTTAAATTAAACTTCCCAGTGGGATAGAAACAATAATTAAATAGAATAAACATAAACAAAATGGGTAAGGAGTAAACGAGGCTAGCAAATAGAAGAATTAACCTGCAAGGTTTGGGAATTAACTGTTACTAGGTATATTATGATGCAATTTGATGAATTTGATAAACCTGGAGGACTGTATTAACAAGGACATGTGCAGGTCTTGTCACATTCCATCTCTTTCCCCTTTGCTGAGACCTATTATAGATGTTGGATTTAGTTCAACTTAAACAGATGGCAGCTCTGTTTCTTTTTTTAAACAAATGGTCACTTTAAACTACAAAGGGGAGACTCAGGTCAGAGATAAGGAGGCAGCTTTTCTCAACTCACTTTTCATGGGAGTAGGCTGGCCCCATTATCCACAGCCCTTTGCACAGCTGAAACCTGCCCAATTCCGGGCCTCATATTTCCATTTTTAGCACGATCGCTATAGCAATCCAACCAGCTTCTAGAAGATGCTTCTCTTTAACTTGCAAAAACACTTAGACTAGAATTAAACCTCCAGGCACAGAGCTCTAGTTACAGCACAATAATATATCACATTCACGGTGCCTCAGGCACTGCTAGCAGTTCACAGACTCCCACCTTAGCCCGAGTGCATGCAGTCTGACAATCAATCCCTTAATGAGTGGTTTCAAGTACCACCCAGGGAAAACCAGACCAGATCCTGCAAACACAGATACAGAGCTTTTCTCAGGACAGCAGTGATACTTCCCAGCAGGGGTGAAAGTAATTTAAGTTTGTTACAGGCGCTGTTCTGTGGGGGGAGGTGATGTCAGGGCAGGGGGTTGGAGATGCGGAAGGAGTAAGCAGGAGTCAAGGTTGGGAGCTGTGGGGAGGGGATCAGCGCAGGGAGCTGGAGGTATGGGGGTGCAGGAGAAAAGGTTTGGGGATAAAAGGGATTCAGGATGTGGGGTGTGCAGGATTCAGGGCAGGGAACTCAAGGTAGGAGTCTGGGGAGTTCAAGGGTATGTGCAGGATATTGGGCAAAGGCAGCATTTCAGGAGGGAAGGGGCTGCAGCAGCACATACAGGTCCCAGAAGCCAGGCTGGGAGTATGCCACCCATCCCCTTGCAGTTTCTTGCTGGAGCACTGCATGGGTGCATCAGCTTACTTTCCCCTCTGCTTCCCAGGGACAATTCACCTGCGTAGTGCTATACATGCCCACCTTTGTTTCCAGGAGCAGAGTCCAAACATCTCATAGGCCCACGTGACGTGAGCAATATTCAATATAATTTGCCCTTTTTAAATTGACTTTCCACCTTGTTGCTGTTAATACTTCTATGATAAGGACGCTATTTTTATTGTATTGAACAGTAAAATTGAACCTTGCCTCTGCCTCAAACATTGTGCATCATTAAAAAAGGTTAATTCTTAACAATGACAATAAAAGGTATCAAGAGAGGAAGAGAAGCTACCGGAAGAGTGAGATAAGTTATACTTATTTCCTTTCCCAGCGATGACAGTTTATTTCTATATCAATGAGTCCTGCATTGCCCACAGAGTCCTCCTTTCAGAAAGGTGTGCTTTTACTTGTCCATGTATAAAGGCTGCATAATTGATTGATACTCACATGCTATGTTATGTGTAGGGTATGTTCCTACTTCCATCTGAGTCAACTGCAGTTTTGAGGACATTGAATTCAATGTGAGCAAGCACAGGCCCATGAATTTTTCAAAAAAGCAAATTTGTTTCCCTTCGGGGACAGATTTGTGAGTAGCCCTCCGCTCACCATGACAGATATCAATTTTGGTTTTTATGATCTCTTTTATAAATCCCAGTCCACTTTTCTATAAATATAATTAGACTAAACATAGGAAGTTTGGAGAAATACCACTGCAAAAGGAACTCAGAAACAGGGTCAAGCATCCTCCTTTGTTACCTCGAATGTACAGTCTGAGGATGACCATGAGATCACAACACTTAGGTCAGGTCTAAACTAGGGGACAAAGTCGAACTAAGATATGCAACTCCAGCTACACGAATAGCATAACTGGAGTTGACATACCTTAGTCTGAATTTCCATGTCCTCACTTTGGGAGGTCGACGGGCAACTCTCATGCTAACTTCACTTTCTCCTCATGACTGGGTGAAATACTCGAGTCAATGGCGGTGCGATCAGCAGTCAATTTAGTGGGTCTTTACTAGACCTGCTAAATCAAACCCTGAGAGATCGATCTCTGAAGCATCGATCTTCCAGTAAGTGGAGACAAGGTCTTAGAGTGGATAAGATTTATTAGATCACTGACTCCATTATTTGGAAAGGATAGTATATGGTCTTTCAGTATCTCATGTAGACATATACAAGAAAAAGTGGTTTTGTACCGATATATTAAATAGATTTTAAAACATCTTTGAATATAAAATATGGTATTTTTCAATCTGTCCCTGTCAGTATCTATTCATCTTATGTAAATAATTATGCCATATACCACACTAGGGGGATGGCTACACAACAACATTATTTTAAATTAACTAGCATTATTTTGAAATAATTTAGTCGGTGTCTACACAGCAGGCAGTTATTTTGAAATAATGTCAAAATACTGTCAAGCTGGAGGACTTTTTATTCCAACTCCTGTAACCATCATTGTACAAGGAGTAAGGGAAGTTGGAAGAGGAATGCTCTATTTCAAAATAAGTGCTGAGTAGACACTCCCAATTTTGAAATAAGCTACACAATTGATGTAGCTCAATTTGTGCAGCTTATTTTGAGTAAAGCCCTGCTGTGTAGACACACTCTAGAAGTATGGAAGCCCCATGTGATGAGACAAAATTCACTGATTAGTTGTTAATCAGACAGTCTTTTTCCTCCCCAGCTGCTGTAGGGGTATGGGATGTCCAGCTCCCATTAATTGTAACAGGAACAAAGTTTCTAAATGCCTTACACAGTTTTACCACTCAAAAATTATGAAATCTATCCCAAACACTTCTCTTTGTAGCCAATGAATAGAAGTTTCATGTTCTAGAAAGCCCTAGTCTTCTTTCCCAGAATGCAGGTGCAAACATTTAGATCAAGGATCAGTAACATCTTTCAGGCATGGATTCTGGTCTCCGATACACCAGCATAAATCTGGGGCAGTTCCACTGGCAGCTTCAAAACCTGTCCCTCAGTCTTTGACTGTGCCAGGGAAAAGTCAAAGCCATCGTAGCCATCATCAGCACGGTCCTCCTCTGGATAAATATGTACAATCTGATAAATTCCAAAGGCTGGGCAGGGCAGGGAAGCAACAAAAGCTCATCAGAATTATTTTTAGTTTATTTTAAATGTCCTGTTTTTTACGGACCTATTCACCAAGCCAAAAGACGATCAAGGGGGATTGAAAAAGCCATTGTAATGATTACTAAAAGCCTAGACCTACACCCTACACAGCAGTTCTATTCTAAGATGTATATCCAAAGACCGATACTAGATTTTGTTTCTACTTCTGTATACGTCTAAGATTTTTACAATATATGGCTAAATCGTGCAAGCCTTCCGCATTTTGAAACCAGTGATGTCAATTAGGGTTTTTATCTCAGTAAAGCTGCTGCCATTCTATTCTGGCCTTTTCTTTTGGTGGGAAGTTTCTCATACTGCATGAAATATACAATGAAATAAAATGGGATCTTAGTCTTGCAATTGTCACAATGTGGGTAGATGTATGAATGGTATAGAGCCTCTGGGAAACCAAGAAGGCTGTATAGATGCAAGGGAGTGCCTATGAAGAGCAACGTGCAGGATCAGGACCAAGAAAGTTAACACATGAATCTTTCTGTGGTAAGATAACATTGCAGGAATAGGAGAATCTTGCCTTTCCCTTCATTCACAAGTAAATATCACGAGAAGATAAATAATTGCTTGCTTGGTAGCACTGTATTAAATGTATTTGCTTTATGTATATGTCCTTAAGGGGGAATCATTGTCAAATTGTCATCTAACTTTGTTTTTTTTCTAAATATGATACACGTCATGCTGTGAATATAGTGACTATTATTTTCAATGTCTCAACTTGACATTGAAAGGTAGCTCCTGCTAGAAAAAAGCCTATCTCTTGATGAGTTTATGCACCTATTTGTGCAATGACACAGCTCGGAAATTGGGACTAACATTGCCTGACAATATGGTAACATCAAAGTCGATCATTTTCTAAATGGCATAAACTGTTTTTTACAGGTTTGCTAATTTAAGTCAGCAGAAGATGAGTCATCTGGAAAAAGAATGTAAACATTTGCCTCCTAGGAATCCTATTGTAAGTTCATTATTTTAAAACATATTTCAATATAAAATACTTAGGCAATTTATACCTGTTGAGATTCCAGAGGTCAGGAGAGCATTTCAGATTTTCCATCAGTTACGGTCTGGGAATTCTGGGTTTCCCTGGATTCAATAGCTCAGTTACACAATTAGAAACACATTTGCTCCCTTTCTTGTATGAGACAAAAGCTTAAAGAAATGAGCATTTTATTACTTTTCAGACTAAAGGCTGATACATAATCCAATTAGGTAAGATATGCAACGTGTAAAAAAAACTACAGACTTTCGGGCAAATCCTCAGCTGTCATAGTTCTATCAATGGAGCTGTGACCATTTACATCAGTTGAGGCTCTGCCCCTTTAAAGTCAAACTTTGATGTAATAACAGTGTATAAATACCCCCCATGAACCATGGCGGGCGCAGCAACGTTAATGTGCCATGTCTCATGTGTTTTTTAAGTTGTTGTGTTAAAATCTGTTTACCACGAGGCAATTTTTTCAGGGTTGTGGCTGCTGCAGTTGTTTGTAATTCCATTTCTCCTACCTTCTTGGGCTACCGTATTTTCAATATCTCAGAAGCTAAGCACGGTGCATCCTGGTCAGCACTTAGACAGGTGATCTTTAAGGCAAACCCAGACTGATCCATGACATAGTGTTGGATTTTTGTTGGGTGGCAGTCTTCTCCTAGACTGTTGAACTAGTACCATTCCAGAGTGCTCTGTCCTGCTGGAGAAGTCTGTTCTGATAAGAGGAGAAACAGAGAGGCTTGCCATTTGTGGTCAATAAAACTATCCATAGTAATCTTTTCAAGCGTTGTTCCCAGGAACCTGGACAAATTCTCGTTGGGTAATTAACATTCTCCCCATCTTAAATTATTCTGTCACGTAACTGTGGTATATGACACTTCCTGTCCTAAACACATTATGTTGCTGTGCGTTGTTATTCCTCTCCAGAGGTGGCTGCATTTCAGTAGTGGGTGAAATAATTCATATACTGCCTGTAGAAGACACGTGCCAGACACATTTACAGTATCATGACTAAGATGAAAGAAGATTTTGTCCAGAGTTTTGATGTTTTATTTTTAAAAATGCATTCTTAGCAGTCCAGGCCTCAGGACAACACATCAATGGGCCTCCACCTGCTTCCCTCAGAGGGAGCCACAAGCCACTCTGCTCTCCATCCAGAGAAACCCTGAGCTCCCCCTCTAAATCAGAGGACCCTCTGGTCAGTAGCTGCCCTATCCCCCACCTGCATTGAGGTGCCCCCCACATCCAGCCCAGCACTGCCCCACAGTGGTCCTGTGCCCCCTCTCAGCTCCTTTCTCCCAGCCTACCCCTGCTTGCACCCTTCTGCTCTTTTCCCTTCCCAGCCCAGTTCCTCAAGCCCCTTGGACCCTCGCTCCCTGCACTCCCATGCCCAGCTTTACCCCCAGAGCTTGGCTCCCTTCTTCTCTTCCCATCCTGGCCCTCTCCTCCAGTCCCAGCCTGGCTCTTCCCTCCCTGCTCCTCCTCCTGCCCTGCTACTCAGTGGATCTGTGCAGGGTTTAAAGCCGCAGGGAGCATCTGCCACCCCCCCTCCCCCGTTGTCACTGCTGCTGCTCTACTGATCTGAACATTGGGCTTAAATCGGCAAGGAACTCTGGGCTCCCTTCCCGCCTTGTTGCTCCACGAATCCGAGCTCTGGGGCTCCCCGATGCTGCTGCCATGCTACTACAGCAGCGCTATTTAAAAGGACCAGATCAGGGCTGCCATTACCGTACAGCAGCCCCAGACCCTCTTAATTTCACCGGGCTCCTGTTCAGTTGCCCCCCTTTGCTCCTTATTTAGAGGGTGCTGATTTTAAATGTATTAATGCAACATACTGATAATTTTAGACCACACTGTGGCATGGATACCTGGATTCAAGCTCCATTGTTTTGCAGAAATGCATGTTAGATGGTTTCTTTTTTCTTGGAAGCGCTACATTCATAAAAATTAAACCTATGCCTGATTTTTAAATGTGATTGAATCGTCATTCATTTCTCTGGCTCTGGCTGATGTCTGGCATTCAAGGTTCTAAGTTCCATTTTCCCCCTTTATCAAATCTTCCATAAATAGATCAAATATGTGTGGAAGTGGGTTCATTGATCTGTCAGGAAAGTGTATGCCAAGGTAGTGTTTGAAATACAGGCCAGAGCAAACAAGAATATTGGCACTGATCATCTTGTTGAGCAATAAGATATGACAAGCATACGGTGATCTCATGATAAAAATCATATCTATCCCTGATTTTTCTCTGTGGAAAAAAATCCAAATTTTGTCCGTCAGCATAACCCACAGTTACTTCACACCACTTTCTGATCAAAATTCAAAATGAAATTGTGGAATTGACAGTAGTTCTCCTTCTGTACCCTTTGTAAGTACGTAAAATGTGAAAGGCAAATGGTATTACCCTCTTTCAGCAAGATGAACTTCTGTGGGAGCAGTTTCCCAAATTCAACAGGTGTGATATGAAAATTAGAATAACTTCATTTCCAGGAGGACAGATTGACTGCACTTTTATTAGATTTATGTCACTGGCTGATCTAAGAATAGCCAGGACAGATGGTAATTAACTAAATGCAAGATTTTCATTGATCTGTCTAAACAGTATGTGACATGCACATACTTTCTCATGATCCATTACAAACCAGCTAATAAATCTGAATAAGTGAAGTTGGAATAAATTTTCAATGATAGCAAGGATTTGATGATATGTGGTTTTAAAAAAAATCACAGGTTAGTGGCTTCCTTGCCAGTTATTCAGTAAGGGTGAGTCTACACAGCAAAGTTATTTTTGAATAACGGCCGTTATTCTGAAATAACTATGTGAGCGTCTACACAGCAATTCTATTATTTTGAAATAATTTTGAAATAACATGGTTTATTCTGACTTCTGTAAGCCTCATTCTATGAAGAATAATGACTATTCCGAAACAGCTATTTCGAAATAATGTGTGTGTAGATGCTCCACTTCTGCTATTTCGAAATAGCCCCTCACCAGGGCCATTCTAAGTTATTCCTCCTGGGGCTCTAAATCGAGATAGCACATCAACATTAGGGAAGCCTGCCCCAGACTAATTTTGAGGCTTCTCTGCAGTACAGACATGCTATTTCGAAATAAGCTATTTTGTAATAAGTATTCTCGAATAGCTTATCCCAAAATAACTGTGCAGTGTAGATGTAGCCCAAGACAAACATAGAAGATATGAGTATAATGTCAGGTATATTGGCTTTTTAGCAATGGGAAAGTGAGTAATTTTGAAACAAACATCTGGAAACCAAGGTAAGCCTTATGATCTTCATAAATTAGAATGGTAGGCTAGAATATTCTAGAGATATTGTAGTAAATGAATCACTACCTAGGCCCTCACAGTGCTCCTCTGGAGTATCACACTGATACTTTGTCACTGATGACAAAGGTAGAACTCGTATCATGCTGCTCTAAAATCATGTCCTCTATTTGGCAAATGGAGACTCTTCATGTGGTATTAGCTATAAAGTATCTATGACACACAGTTGACAGGTAATGATGCCATCCTGCAGTAAGCAGTAGTACATGCACACCCCAACTAGTTCATTCCAATATATTTAAAAAGTTACTGAGGAAGATGAAGGAGAACAACAGTGGCAGAGAAGGGCCAAACAATATTTCAGCAACTGAGGAAGAATTTAGGGCTTTGAGTTAGCAGCAACGCTGAACCGGGCAATATAATGGACTAAATCCTTTAGAGCCTGCAGGACATAGGCATGGTTCTAATCCTTTCTCTGACACCAATGCCATTGTGACAGTGGCTGAGTCACTTACCTTCAGTTTGCTTCATTTTCCGCATCTGTTGTGTGGAGATGATTCTTCACATGGCTGTGGTATACTTAATGTTTATGAAGTTGTTTGAAGGCTAAATAGGTTATTAATAAACTGAACGTGTCATTCAAAATGTGCATCCACTACAAAATTTTGGCTTTTTTCTCTTTTAGGAAGCTTTCAGACATTGGCAACCCTCTTACCACAGTGATTTGAACTGCCCAATCTGTCTCCAAACTGCTACTTTCCCAGTAGAAACCAATTGTGGACATTTATTTTGTGGTAAGTTTTCCAGATTAGCATGCACAATGCTAGTGTAAATTAGTATGTATACCACACACATTACTGAAATCTCAGAAAGCATACATGTGGACCCATGCCAGAGTCCGTTGGATCCATGGGAATTCTGCCACTGCAAGTAGCATCATGCCCACTCTTGTTAATTTTAAATCACTGGAAAAATCAGCAACAACATATTTGTTTCCCCACTGCCTTTACATTCCCGAGGTGGTGGAAAGGTTTGAAATGCCCAGAAAGTCTCGAGGCAATAAACAAGCAACAGCTATATCTCAGAAGCCATCTTATATTGATCAGTTGCAATGGAGTCCATCGCATGCGAAAAAAAATAGTAAAGAAAGATTGTAATAATTATGTGACAACTAAGAGTACAAATCCTACATTTTTATAATGTTACAACTTTATAGGAATGCTAAGTTAAGCTCACACAGAAGCTAAGAAATGAAAAGTTGAATTTATAATGTTAACTCACATACATTGCACACATAGGCCCTAATTTTGATCTTACAACTGTCTATACTGCTGCCATTGAAATACACTTGAATTTCCTCTGTATAGCTAAGAAAACAATTGTATAGCTAAGAAAACATCTCTCTCTGTGGGTATACTTTTAAATCCACCATTCATAATGGAATTATTCTGATCATGTTCACATTGGTATAAAATTGGCATGAGATTAGAATCAGGTCCAATGTGTGCCATGAGGCAAGTTAAAATTACTAGGAGAATCTGAACACTTCTGGATGTCTTATGAGTGTATAAAATGGTAACCCTACTGTTACGTAAATGCAAGTTTTTATATTTCCCTCTTTTTTTTAAAGATCAGGGAAAAGTTGAAATACCAGGTGTGATTCCCTAGTGTTTAATTCAGTTTTTATGTTCATGTAATTATTGACTTCAGTAGAGTTATACAGGTATAAAACTGGAACATTCCATTAACTGATTTCATGATATACTTCCATATTTGCATAGTCAGAAAACTTGTGCCACTATTCTGTTCTGGCAGTGTAAAGGGGCCTTAAAGCAGATGCAAATTACATTTGTATCCAACTGATACTTTAAGCTCCCTTGACAGTACCAGAATTGTTTAAAGAGATTTTTAGTGTAAATGAGAATAAGACAATCAGACACTAATGTTGTCATAAGCATTTGCTGAAGAGAGTAATGGGACCATCTTGTCTTAGGACATCATCATATAACAACTACTATGTGTTTAGGAAAGAAAAGAGATCTCAGCAATAGATGTAGGGAGATGCATGAAAACGTGCTGGAAGATTTATTTTCTATTACAGAAACATATTTTTGTTTCTAGAAAGTCTCATTGTTCTATAGATCATCCTGCGCAACTTGTTCAAGAACACTACTTCCATCTCCACAATAAAAAGCACAGTGCAAATAGGAATTACCAATTATGAAAGTCTACATGGGAATACTTCAGGATTCTCCTGTGTTGGTGTACATCAAATGGTTTATAAAATGCACACTGAGAAAAAGATCTTGAATTCGATCCAAGCTGGAACAAATATGAGCAAAACATATGGCCACAAAACATGATTCACCTAATATCAGACATGCTGCATTCTACAGATTTTCAAATGAGGAGAAAGACATAGCAGTGAAGAATAATATCATATTTTCTTCTCCCTGAGGTTTATTTCTCCTTCTTTCTCTAGACTTGATTTTCCTTCCTGTATCATTCTTTGCTCTTCAGAAAGGTGATCCCACCTAATGGACTGCACATATTGTGAAATACCTGTACTTATATAGAATCAAATCTTGTACAGTATTGTCTTTTCATGTCCTACATGAATAAAACTTGAGGGTGGGGTTATAAAAAAGTGCAGCATAGGTCTAAATTTGCTCTGACTATAATGCTCACCTAGTTTCCATCAAAACAGGATTAGGTCAATGCTGAGCACTTTTGATGAATCCCACTCTGATGCAGAATCTTATTTTTTTAAATTTGGCCATCCCATAGCGTTTTAAGAGGATTAACTGGAGATTTACAGAAAAGTCTGAATTTATTATTATTGGTAATACATATAGTTCTCCTCTGAGTTTTCATTTGCAGACTCATTTTGAACCATATGTTCAGGAAGTTAAGAGGAAAACTGATCTTGAACCAATATTTTTTTTTCTAATTACCAATAACCACAAAATATTTCACTGGAGCTCCATGAACTCCCTCAAAAAGCAGAATAGCAAACTTGATTAAAATGGGATTTGGTCTAATTTATGAAAACAAACTGACACATGAATACCTGAACTTCAGAGGGGCCATTCCCTTCCTGTGATCCTTCACAAACGATTCAGCATGTAACATTTTTAATGGCCAGTTTGCCTTTTTAAAAGCCATTGGAAAGCTGAGGTTTGTTTGATTGTGCACTGAGATCCCATTGTCTTCAGGAGGACTTGCCTGGGCAGAGCAATCTGTCCATGCAGTACAAGGATTAAATAGTCTGTTTTCAAAACTGAGCTTTTGCACATGCAAAGAAGCAGCAGCATTTAAAAAATAAATAAATAAACTACATTCAAACAAAAACAAATGTAAACTATTGCAGCCATTGTTTCAGAAACTGAAGTAAGGGTCCTTTAAAAAAAACTTTGGACTTTTGGGCCAAATTTAACATCCCTAATAGCGTTTCTGCATCTCAGATATTGCCCTCAGCAGCGCTTGTGCAATCGCTGTGACCTCAAACTGTACTTTGAGTTATATTTGTACAATCCTTAGTCTTCAGGGAAGTTGTGCAGATGAAACTGGGGATGTAAGGACAGAGGAGCTGCCTTGATAACCATGCAGGTGGAACTTACCCATTCTCAAGATGATGAGGACAGAATTGAGTCCAGCAGCTGGGGCAGTTCCACAGAGAAGACCACAGTACAGAGGAATACAAAACTTCTTAGCCATGAGAGCCAGTTTCTCATCTTCTTATTCACATTGATGGACAGCTTACTCCAAAAGTGGTCCTGTGGCGGCCAGAGGGGCTCTTTGGGAGTCAGATCTTCAGAGTCTCCCCTGAAAGAGGATATATGGGTCTGAACACAGAGCAGGAACAGTGCCATTTTTACACAGTCACTTTTCAGAGCGGAGCCACATTTTGATGGTCTAGGCACATATGACAGGAGTAAAGGGGGATATTCACTTAGGGGGCCTTCCCGTAAATCTGCTTCACCTGAATCTTCTTTTTGTAGGTGCCTGTCTAATTACATACTGGAAACATGGTTCCTGGTTAGGAGCAATAAACTGTCCTCTCTGCAGACAAAAAGTAAGAGTAATTGCTATTCTATAAATCTGCTTTTTGACGGTTAGAGAATTGAGAGGAAATACCAAGGGTAATATTTGTGCAGCCTCTTATTTTCTAGCATCTCAGAACCAATGTAGGCTGGAAAGGCACTAGAGTCATTTGCCTCTATCATTTGATGCCTGTCATATCAGGGAATGCTGTAAAATATCGAATGTGCCTCCAGTGCTTTCCCCCATATAGTTTGTTGAATATCTGGCATAAATATTTCATAAAGCCAAGACAGAACTTCTTATCCCCGTCTGACCCTTGCCAGAGGCTGCACATTATATTGAGAGAACATGCTCTCCTTTCAGAAGGAGAGCGTTTGCATGTAGGAAATGAAGTGAAACTTGGAGCCAGGCAAAGGTTATGATGACAACAATATTGAGAGGCATAATAAATTGCAGAAGGGTATTTTTCTTAATGCTGAAAAACCTGCATTGCTTTACATTGAGATGTATTGCTCTAATACTCATTTTTGTTTACCATGGGAAGGTGATTCTTCTGTGTAATGCCTCTTGTGAAAATCAACAAGATAAGCCAAGCAAACGCATTGTACATGACATCAGAGATTACAACAAGCGGTTCTCTGGACAACCTCGACATGTAAGTACGGATATTTCGACGTCTGCTTAAATTAGCCCTATTCTAAGCTGCAGTGAGCTGAATGAGACTAAACAATGTAAACAAATTTGTCAAAGTATGGGAGTTCCATTGTTGGGTGCTCACATTGTTTGTAGCTTTGTAAGGAAGTCAGCGACAGCAGGGATCACACTCCTCTTAGCCAGGTGCTCCACGCTAGATGCATTTGACTAAGGTGCTTAGGACTCTGCTCTGTGGGGCACCTTTCTGTCATTCTGGAAGGGAGGGGAAAAGTGGGGAGATTAAGCAAGGGAAAGAAAACTGAACTAGAAATAGGAATAGGAATATGCGGCTAAGCTTTGAACTCCCACAAGATCTTTGCTTGCTTCTAAGTGTGTGCTTCTAAGTCAGATCCAAAACCAGAAAGGAATGGTCATCTTTCTGTTTGGATGTGGCCTGACTCACGTTTTCAAAAGAGATCAGCAGTCAATACAACCATTATGGTGGGATCGCCAAAGGGCACAAACTGCACATAATGTGTTATTTTGAAAGTCTAGTCTTTATTTTTAGTATCTGAGTGGAAGCTGAGTTCTGCTGGAAAACGCTGTCTCTGAATATTGGAAAGTGAAGGTGTGTCTACATTGCACCCTTAGCTCGAAATAAGCTACGCAATTTGAGCTACACAAATTGTGTAACTTATTTCAAGTGCATTTCGAAATACCTTATTTCATAATTGGGCGCTGTCTACACAGTGCCAAATTTCAAAATAAACAGCTATTCCAAAATCCTTGTGGAATAATGTTTACAGGGACGTTGGAATAGTGTACCTATTATTTCAAAAGATATTTTGAAATTATGAGTGAGCTGTCAAGACGCAAAATAGCTCTTTTGGGATACCGGAAGTATCCTGAAATAGTGCTGCAGTGTAGACATACCTTAAGTGAATAATGTAGTTAGACTTAGAATTAGAGGTAAATTTTGCATTTAAGTAATTTTAGACTAAAACCTTTAATTAGAAGCTTATCTGGCAACCACGAATTAGAATGAGTGAAAATAATATCTTAATCTAATGCAACTGAATATTTAGTTTGCAGATTACCTTTATGACATGCCGCTACTCCTAAATCTTGCCTTAAGAGGAATCTTCACCCTGGGTGGTCTTGTATGGATTTTCTTCCTAAGAATTGTTGTTTGTGCCTTTGGGACCATCATGTGCTTAACTTCCCGATTTGACGTCATGCAAGAACCTCTTTGTAGAATCCTCGCAGCAGTTGATGACCTAGTTGTCGTTTTCCTCCTTTTAATTTGCATGTTTAATATTTGCCAACAAATGGAATCAGAAGGTGTAAATATGGAAAGTTCTACAACTCAGAGCATGCTGTCAGAATCCTGATAGTCTCAAACTTCTACTTCTTCATGGACCTTCACCAGATTGTGTTAGGCTGCTCTAGGACTCCAGAGATAGCGTGAGATGGACTGATTTTTGAAGAACATTCTAATGTTAACTTACAGTGGAGAAAGAATCAATACACTTGTCATGGTCAAGTAGTTAATTTGTGCAAATGCTCACAAAACTAGGTTTTAATACAACCATGTATTTACTAAGTTCCTGCAAAGTGGAGCAGCATTTTATGTGACTTCCCTTAACATACAGCACCTAAAATGACAGAGTCTGGGAGCTATGCACAAAGTCTAAAATTGCAAAGCCAGTCACTTTGTACCTGAACAATTTTTAAGAAGCCTCTTTACACGAAACTAGTTACATCCAGTTTTATTTTACAAAATGTAATTTTGAAAACCTAGATAGTCTTATTACAATAAAACTTGTTAAGACATCTCATGTGCAGTATGGGGAATAAAATGTCAATTAGGTGGTTTTTTAAGAGGCTATCTGTAGGTGCTTTGTGCCACCAAAGCTTATTACAATAAGAAATCCATTGGATTATAAACTTTCCCAGGCATCTGACTAATAATGATAATCTTGATGTTAAAACAATGAGAATGTGTTCATAATATTAGTCTGAATCAAAATACAAAATGAAAGTACTATAGTGAGAGTGACATAAAAAGGGTTTGAAAGGATTTTGCAAGAAATCTGAACAAATCTTTATTCAACTCTCAAATAAATGAACACAAGATACAAGTTTTAGTATTGTGTGCTAAAATAATCTGTGCACCTCAGTTTTAACAAATTCAACATTGTTATTCAGTTCCTGTAAACTTTGTGTTCTTCCTGTAGTTTCCTTGAAAGGTCAGCAAAAAAAAAAAAAAAAAAAATATCAAGACCGATTTTTTTATTATATAAATTGTAGGAAGCCCATGACAGATTTTTTTTTGCAAGTAGTTAAAATTATTGGGATACTGAAAGAAAACACTGCCTTCTGTACATAGATAATCTGTGATATGTACTGAGACTAATGGAACTACACTTCACATGTTACTTGTATATAAATGTGTATATGCATATATATCTATATCTATATAAAATATGAATATTTATTGTTCACAACACAGTGGTCTCTAATAGTCATATTCATTGGATTGGAGAAGAGGGAGCATATTCAACTGACATAATTTTTATCATTCTCTCGAAGTTCATGCTCAGATATACCAATACTGAACACCACTTTTCTCCATTGTTACTTACTGTATTGTGTTCCCCCACTTTAAAACCTTATACTGTCATTATTTTTAATTATGAATGCAGAAAACAGAGAAATCTTTACTCATACTAAGTACTAAAGTGAGGGCAACAATTGATTTTCCATAAGTTCCAAGGCAGGAAGCATATTGTTTCTTTTTTTCTTTTTTTTTTAAAGTCACCAGCTGTTTTGGAGCACTACCAACTACTACTAACATTCATTTTTTATAAAGAAACTGGCTGTTATTTTTTAAATACCCCGAGTATCATTATTTGCATGTAACTTGGCGTGACAATATAACTCTGTGCCGTTACTAAAGAATGGAATTTCTATTAAGCCAAATGCATAAAACTGAAGGTCATATTTCATATAAATGTGCTTACAGGTTATTGCTATTATATGGTAAGGGCTCAGTGTGAGAGTGGCCAAACAACAGGCTGAGAGCGTGGGAGTGAAAAATGTTGTTATTGGTGAGCTAAAACAGAGCCATAATTAGTTTTCATGGTTTGTTGTATGATTTTTAAGGCTGCTAAACTACTCTCTATTCTCCCCTTCATGGTGAGTGCTGTCTCCTTTGCTTCTGAAACAGGATTAAAGCCCTAACTTGCTGGGCACTGGTATTAAAACAAGAACAAATACACAAATCTAATATATAAAGGAGAATGTTTGTATGTGTGTGTGCTAATAACTTGGACACTATGGGTGTGTCTAAACTACATGGCTCCGTTGATGGAGCCATGTAGATTAGGCTGATCAGCAGAGGGAAATGAAGCCACGATTTAAATAATCACGGCTTCATTTAAATTTAAATGGCTGCCACGCTCTGTCGACCAGCTGATGATCAGCTATTGCCGGAAGCCTTTGTCGACCGGCACAAGTTTCATGAGGCATACCTGCGCCGGTCGACAAAGGCTTCCTTGTCGACAGCGGCACATCCAGACTGCCCCGATCTGCCGAGGCAGCCATTTAAATTTAAATGAAGCCGCGATTACTTAAATCGCGGCTTCATTTCCTTCTGCTGATTAGCCTAATCTACATGGCTCCATCAACGGAGCCATGTAGGTTAGACACACCCTATAAGAGCTACTGCAACCAAACCTTGCATGGGATAACCTTTTATCCAGGAGAAGGTTTTAAGATACTGTGGGAGCAGGGCTGGATTAAGGGGGGACTAGCTGGGCAGCTGCCCAGGGCGCCAACCTATGGGGGGCACTTGATTGAAGTAGTAAGGAGCACCGCGCACCTGGGGGTGGAGCCATGCATGCGCCGCGTGCCCGCTGCGCAAGTATGGGTTAGGCCGGCACTGTGTGGGAGGGAAGAGATGAGACACCAACGCCTCTCTCCGGGGCTGCACAGAGCTTGGCAGTGTGGGGAGAAGCGGCTTCCTGGGGGAAGTGGCGGGACCAGTCACTAAGGCTGGCGGAGGGACAAGGAAGTGGAAGGTGAGCTCGGTTGCCGGCGACAGGCACACGGCTTCCTTCCCCCTCCTTCCTCTCAGGCTCCTCACCTCAGTTATATCAACTGTCAACTTATATTTCAACAATGTACGTATACTGACAAAGCGTAAAGTTGGAATTGATTTGGAGACATCTTGCTTTTCACATGGACAAGTTTATGTTGCGTGTTCAAGATTTTAATTAAAAAGAACAATTTTGATTTCAGCAGAATGACACAATGAGACAAAATTCTTACGAACTTTCGATTGTAAACCTCTGAAAAAATCTACAATCCCTGTAGTTTCCAGACTCTACGACTGTTGATTATACGCCTTGCATGATGGCTTTATACTCTCTCTGATGTTCAGCAAGTTTCAAAAACACTTCATACTTCTTGTCATAAAATCTGTTTAAAAGAATGAAACACATTTAAAGTTCTGAGGTTTAAATCTGCATGTTTACTCTAACCAGGCAAGCAGCTTTAACTCTGTTATAAATGACAAGTTTTATTGGCAGTAGATTCCTGTGTTTTGCCAGAGCTAGTTTTTACCCAGACACGTGATTTCAAGTTATAATTAAGCCTTTTACTTACCCTATACCTAATTTTGATTTTCAGACATTCTCCCCTATAGCAGAATTCTCTGCTGGTGTAAATGAAGGCAAGTCCGTTGCATATTATGACATATTGCCCATTTATATTGACCAACAGAGAGAATTTAGTCCCCAGGTCTAATTTTTTTCAAATATACTAATGCCCAATGTTCCATCTAATTTTTTCATCCATGTGTGGAAAACATTGTGAAATGTGCACCAAGGCACTAGTTGTAGTTGCTGTGGGCACTCTGCTAATCAGCTGGGTGGCATCTGAATCTCTCCTGAGTGGCCACCCAATTGCTCAGCTTACAGGAATCATTGCTAGTGCCTCTCCTACATTTAGTCAAAACCTCCCTATTCTTTGGGCTGTCTCGCATTAAGAGATACCGGTGACTCCCAGCTGCCAATGAAGCTGAGAGAAAGCAGGATTTTCACTCTGCAAGCCTGGAGAAAACTAAAGCAGTGGCTGTATTATGTACAATAATTTATAGCTCCCCTGCTCACAGAAAAATGATCTGCTCCCTCTGACTGACTGTTAACGTTTTGATTTGTACTGCATTTTACCTCTGGCTGCCTGTTTTCCTTCAGAAACTGCTGGCACACACTTATTTCAGTTGCTAAACTGTCTGAAAAATCAGGCTCTGGATAGTACATGGATCTGAGTCTCTCCAAAGTGAGTCTTATCAGTGTACATGTGGATCTTCTAACAGGCCTGCAGGTGGAGCTCACACACTTCTGCACATTCATGGCCTGCACTATAGAACTGCCATCTCCTTGAAGGCTACTGCTACCACTATTCACATTTAACCCCAACACACAATGATAAGGGTTAGGCATTTTTACTCAGTGGAAGAGCTTAGAGTGTTGATGCAATTGTGAGGGGTCCATGGTTGGACTGGAGCTGTTCCAACGTAACATATAAAGCACCATAATACAGGGCCCTACCTACTTCTGCACCTCTGAAATGCTGAGTGTCCTTATCTTTTACCTGAAGACAATTGTAATACATGGAGATCGTACAGCTAGTTTAAGAATGGGTAAAATTTTCAAAGCACCTCAGTGATTTGGGAGCCTACATCACTTCCGAAAATGGGGCTTAGGCTCCTGAATCATTTAGGCGTGTTTGAAAATTTTACTCCATATCCTTTACCACTTTGTGACATTTCCCTGTCAACTTACAATGCAAATAGGGAGGCAGATGTCATTGTACTCAGGCCTAGAAGGAGACAGGCATTTATTTGGTTGAAGTGGTTTCTCTCATTAAAAAAAATCAAATCAAAAATCAAAATTACCTTTTATCCCCATGGTTAGGTCGCACGATTTCCCCAATTTTTCCCATTCTCTCCATGGCCTCCTGTTAAGAGAGAAATACAAGCTGGAAATGCCAATTTCAATTTAAAATACTTTTTAACGAGAACAAAGTGTTTCTGGGGGAAAAAGACTGATCAGAATACTGCTAATGTACTTTGTTTCAGGTTAACAGACCGATGTTTTAAAATATGTTCGATCCCATTATATAGCAGAGAACAAAGTACTATGGACCCTCAGCCAGGGAAAAATCTGTTCCCCTTCCTTAGTAAGACTCTGGAAAAGAGAAGACTGTCTTTTATTATTTATGGCAACTACAGGAAATGTTGCACACTTCCCTGGGGAGCTGGTTTTTCTAATAAAGTGGTATTTTAGAAGAGATCTCTTAATCCTTTTTCTGAAGTATGGATTTCCTGAAGCGAGGCAGGCCAAAGTGTGCTCCAGAAGCCAAATGCAACTCATGAAGTGTTGCAACATTGCTCATGGCTCTCCTCATTTTCTAGTATTCAGCTGCAGTATGTAGAGCACCATACTGATCTGCTAAAAGCCAAAGCAAAGCCAGGTGTGGAGACTGAAAGAGGCTCCTCTTGAACAGTCATGCTGCCATCAATAGGACTCGCTGCAGGTGTCAGGGTATCCATGAAAGAAGGATAGTTTTGCAGGTCTGAGGGGTAAGTTTGGGAGATTCACAAGAGTAGTCCTATTGGAGTTAGTTGGATTCGTTACCTCATGATTGAGGGAAACAAAAACATCAGGGGTTGTACTATTTCATAGTACAGCATTAGAGCTACCGTCCACAGGCAGATCAATGTCAACAAGCCAAAGAATCATACAGATTGAATCAGAATATTGCAGGCTTTTTAATTCCCCAACCAGAAGCCTAAATCTGCCCTGTTATTACTGCCTATAATTCTGTGCTCAGAAGCCTTGGTTGTCTAGTGGTTAGTTCCCCCTCCAGTTTCCATTCTCTTGTTTCCCCAGCCAGAAAGGGGCAGAGATGTCTGATCCTTCCCCTTGGCCAAAGACATTGTAGTCCTGGTTCAATTGGGGCCTTGCTGGGCCCTCTCTCTCCACCGGGTCCTGGCTCAGGGCCCTTTTGGAGATCTGTACCAGCAGAGTATGTTTTGATCAAAAGTACTTTGGCTCATCTCTGATCCTTCAGCTGCATACACACAAAGCAAAGGCAACGTAGACAGTTCTTACACAAATTGAATCTCCCCAAACAATAAGCAGATGGCTACCACTCTGAGAATGAATCCTCAAAGAACACCTCAAAGGTGCCATTTCTGAAGAGCTGATGCATTCTCTTCCCACACACTCATGAGGACTCAGAAACCACAACACACAGCTCCAGGCTATGATTCTATCGGGAAATCTGATGTCCTTTTTGGTTACAAAAATTAAGTCCATGTTTATGTAAAAAAAAGGGTTACTTTCCTTTCTTATTTCCTGTTCTATAACAAAGGATATTAACCATTGCTTGGGATTACGTAGCCTGTAGTTTACAAACGCCATCAGTTTCTACAAAGGTTGTAGAGCGTTTATAGTCCATTTGAAATGAATGAACAGTAAGAAGATACTAAATAAAAAGCATTTCCTCTGGTTCAATTTAGAATACTTTCCCTCTTACGTTAGCTCTGCCCCCCTAAGTACAGTATAAACACACAATCATGAAATATTTTAAGGGATTAAAATTTTTGCATCAACCTTGTTTGTATTACTATACAGGTTTCTACTTCTAGCCACAATTCAACTGCAGGTGAATAGTGAACCTGGGAAAAAAGACTGCACTTTTGAAAAGTACAAGCAATTAACTCAGTGAAGTGACACGAGTCCAAAACATACCGCTAACTGCTCTTACAAGCTATACTATACTAGGGAAATGAAAGCACAACACACACACACCCTCCTCCCACCTGTTCTTTGAACTGCTATAGCCCTGTATGCTGTTCAGTAATAAAAAAGCCATGGGTTGCTCCTTGGATCCAGGCTTCATGTATAGGTTGAACTTCTCTAGTCCAGCACTCTGGTCCAGCAACATCCATGGTCCAGCTTGATTTTAGTTAGCTGGAAGTCTGCTTAGCATGGGTGTGGCCAAGTTTTCTGCAGCCCCATAATATTTGGTTACAACCACCAGGCCTGGCTCTCAGTGTTCTGTGCTGTCATTTAACTCTAATTTATCCCTAAATGTCTTCTAAGTGCCCAGTAAGCAGTGGAAGTATCGGTCATGCTGCTAGACAATATTGACCTCTTGTGGTTCGGCACCAGTGAGGTCCCAAGAGTGCTGGACTAGAAAGGTTCAACTTGTAGGCAGGCTTTATTTTTAAGCTGTTATTCACCTAAGGCTACATCTACACAGCAACGCTATTTCGGGATAC